GAAAGACCTTTAGACTTTCACCATGCTGTTAAATATCTTCTACTGTGAAACTGCTTGATAGAGCTGACATTTGGCTTGCATGTTCCTTCTTATGAGACATCTCACCTTGTTCAAATCAGTACTATTTTATTGTATGTTTTATTGTTTAACAATATTTAAAAATTCAAAGTGAAGAATCCTTAGTATTGTGAGCCCTTGGATACAGCGCCTAAACGTCATCTGAATGTAAGGACTAGAAGGAGAATGTCCTATACGATACTGCAAACATACTGTTATCTTTTTACTTTTAAATGTTTATTTGTTTGTTTGTTGTTTAACGCCGCACTCAACAATATTCCAGCTATATGGCGCCGGTCTGTAAATAATCGAGTCTGGACCAGACAATCCAGTAATTGGTGTCATGAGCATCGATACACGTAATTGGGATACGATGACATGCATCAACCAAGTCAGCGAGCCTGACCACCCGATCCTGTTAGTCGCCTCTTACGACAAGCATAGTCGCCTCTTTAATTGTTTAACTAAGGTTGAAGTATTGTCACTTCAGAAGTCAGTTGGGGTCGGGGTAGAGTTGGGGTGGGGGGATGGGGGGGTGGGGGGTGGGGGGATGGGGGGGGGGGTAGTTATGAATGTCTGTTATTTAAGATGAGAAAAGAGTTGTTTTATCAAAAGTAAAAAAGTCTTTTCAGTTCTGCCACGGCAAAGACAAAATATCTCCCTGTTCAATCAATGACCTTTGATGTTGATATGAAACAAATTGATTGAAAACATATTTTCAATATTCCATATGTATGTTGACAGAAACTCTTTATCTTCCTTTCATCTGATAGTATTATTACACTCTGCGTGTATCCTGTTCGTATTGTTCAAAAAGTTATTATTTCGTTCAATGTTTATCAAACGGAATATCCCATTACCTTGCTATGTATTGTGTACAGCCGTACAACGTCCTGTAGCATTTCTCTTCTTTGTGTGAACCACCTTGTTGTGCAAGTTCAGGGATAATATTAAATATCCATCTTATTTCCTTATCACAGAACTTCAAAGATAAGACTGAATTACCAGCCTTACACAACATAATGAAATACCCATTAATGACAGGTGACAATGGCCTCAGTCTGCCAGGTCTCTCGTTACCCTTGCATGAACATAATCTACCTTTGTTACTAGCGAAGCCACAATCATGTGGCCGAATGATATATAGTGTGTGACGTCTCGGGGCCTTTATGTTTTTACTACTAGTTAATTAACAGGTGATATGAATACACTCGTGGCTTCTATAGGGAATACAGAGGTTAGACTGACGATAGTGACAATTTCTTATTATATTGTTCTGTTTGTCAATAGCAATGTGATTGAGCTGATATCTGAACCTTGGTTGCCGAGGATGGATGTTGGTTGTATGTTGTTTAACGCCGCACTCTGTAATATGTCAGAAAGATGACGGAAGTCCTTGAATAACCGTGTTGACACCATCCATGAGCATTGACCTACGCAGTTAGGTTCCGGTGACATGCATCATTGACTGTTTGTTGTTTTACGCCGCACTCAGCAATATTCCAGTTAATGTGACAGCGGTCTGTAAATAATCGAGTCTGGACCAGAAAATTCAGTGATTGACATCATGAGCATCAATTTACGGGATACGATTACATACATCAACCAAGTCAGCGAGCCTGACCACCCGATCCCCTTAGTCGCCTCTTACGACAAGCATGGGTTGCTGAAGGCCAATCGTACCTGGATCTTCACGGGTAGAGATGCATAAACCAAGTTAGCGAGGCTGACCACCTGGTATATGCTATTTTCTTTTAAACTATGGCTTCTTTGTCCTTGGTCGTGTGTAACCTACCTAATTAGCAATAAGGAAGAAACTTTATTTTTGATCTATCAGTTACCTTGATGGTAGAACAATTTCACAGAAAACGTGTGACGACAGCAGGTTTCGAAGTCTGCGCCAATGGCTAATGGATGTACTCTTATGACATTGATTTTTTGGTAAAAAGTATTTACATAAATCAAGACTAATATTTTGTTTCCTCTTATGAAACTTGAAATATGCTTGTTATGCAGTACATTTTATATTATTCTATGCCTTGTACGTAAGTGTAATTAGGCTGCTTTTTGTTAAAAGAAACGAACAGATAAAAGAAATCTATCATATTGATCAGAACAATATTGGCTCATTATAGGCCCGTGGTCATGTGCAAGTAATATTTAGGTGATTGATACACAGTAAATGTGGTTCATTTGGTCCATTATGAATTGTTTACTCACCCGGGACTTGCATTCATAAAGAAATGGTCCAGGCAATACGTGCATCACGTAATGGTCACGTGCATCACGCAAACCGACTCACACAGTGCACTCACAGTTAAGCACAGCATTTTCATAAATATTTGTACGCAAACAACTTAAAATTAATTCCGTTATTGTTACTTTTTGTGTGGGTTTTACGCAAAGTTTATTTCGAGCTCTACTCAGAAACCGTCAAAGTTCAAACGGCCTTATAAAGGTTGCCTTCTGGTTGCTTTTGAACTGGCATTACTCAGAAACTGTCATGTTTTTGATAGCTTCTGTATTTATGTCTGTTTGATGAGGTGGGTACTGCTTATTTACTTCAACAAATGACGTTAAAACTTAACATCAGCTTTCTTCTAAAGCATTCTCCGTTTGAAGAGCAAGCAATGCTCATCGTAGCAGGTGTGGCTCCCGTGGCAGAGCAATCAACGGAATCAGGCACGTTAATGCATGTTCACCAACACACGTCAACGTAAACCTGACATTCACCGGAACAAACGCTTTGAATGATGAGTAATTTCCTTAGAGTCAAACCAGTTCCAAGACATTGGTCGTGAAGGGTAGTCATATATACCAATATGGCAGATACTCACAATTAGAACTTCAGTGTGGAACACTTTGATTGCAGTACAGTTGTACGTAAGTTGTATTAATTCAGAAATCGATAAAGGCTGTCCCACACACAAGCAGCGCTGCACAGTGCGTCGGCCTAAACAATTCGCGTAAGTATATTTTGCACATAGCAACCCAGATTGTGTGTCAGCAGGGCGTTGACATTAATTCCTTTTGATCGCTTAACACCTGATTTTAGCTGCTAGCTGCCCTGTCGCATCATGGACCATTTTATGGACCGAGGATACTCGTTTTACTTTCATTTTCTTTCCGTGAGCACGGGTGGCCCAGTCGTCTAAGGCGCCTCGATTCGCTGTGCAGAGTTACGTCCCTTGGGCACACAAGAAATCTATGATTGTGGGTTCGAATCCCGGTTCGCCCCGATTATGTTTCAAGGTTTGTCAGCCGTGCTCGTGGGTTTCACAGAAGTGGTAAACGTCTGACACCTGCATCAATTCGAACTTTCCTCCCACATTAAGCTGATACGCTGAAGGGGCGACTATGCCTGTCATTAGGGGCGACCATGCAGGAGCGACCATGCTTGTCATTAGGGGCGACTATGCCTGTCATTAGGGGCGACTATGCCTGTCATTAGGGGCGACTATGCTTGTCATAAGGGGCGACTATGCCTGTCATTAGGGGCGACCATGCCTGTCATAAGGAGCGACCATGCCTGTCATTAGGGGCGACTATGCCTGTCATTAGGGGCGACTATGCCTGTCATAAGGAGCAACCATGCCTGTCATAAGGAGCGACCATGCCTGTCATTAGGGGCGACTATGCCTGTGATAAGGGGCGACCATGCCTGTCATAAGGAGCGACCATGCCTGTCATAAGGGGCGACCATGCCTGTCATAAGGAGCGACCATGCCTGTCATTAGGGGCGACTATGCCTGTCATTAGGGGCGACTATGCCTGTCATAAGGAGCAACCATGCCTGTCATAAGGAGCGACCATGCCTGTCATAAGGGGCGACCATGCCTGTCATAAGGAGCGACCATGCCTGTCATTAGGGGCGACTATGCCTGTCATTAGGGGCGACTATGCTTGTCATAAGGGGCGACCATGCCTGTCATAAGGGGCGACCATGCCTGTCATAAGGGGCGACCATGCAGGGGCGACTATGCCTGTCATAAGGAGCGACTATGCCTGTCATAAGGGGCGACCATGCAGGGGCGACTATGCCTGTCATAAGGGGCGACCATGCAGGGGCGACTATGCCTGTCATAAGGGGCGACTATGCCTGTCATAAGGGGCGACCATGCAGGGGCAACTATGCCTGTCATAAGGAGCGACTATGCCTGTCATAAGGGGCGACCATGCAGGGGCGACTATACCTGTCATAAGGGGCGACTATGCCTGTCATAAGGGGCGACCATGCAGGAGTGACTATACCTGTCATAAGGGGCGACTATGCTTGTCATAAGGGTATCGGGTGGTCAGGCTCGCTGACTGGTTTAGCATGTCATCGTTTCCCAATTGCGTGGATCGATGCTCATTATATCAATCAGTGGATTGTCTGGCCCAAGCTCCATTATTACAGACCGCCGTCATATAACTGGAATATAGCTGAGTGCGGCGTTAAACAAACAAAAAAACAAACAAACAAACAAACAAACACTCGTCCGCCGAGAATGGGTAACAGGAAGAGCTTCTACATGCACGGCTTTCCATAATAAAATCGGAGTGCATTATCAAAATACAAATTTTGGCGTGTTCGTTATCTTTTCGTAAAGGGGCTGTCGATGAAACCTAAATTTACATATTAACAATGTACATATTGTATTCCATCAAAACCTTATTTGTCAGACCAAAGTATTATTCAACGTTGGCCATCCGTACTTAACGTGCAGTCAAATTCTATTTATCATATAAATGTTGCATTTCTCCTTTGAATCAATGTAATGCTGATCTTATGTAGACGCCCCCATGCAAACATTGCTTTGATGGTATGGAAAGGATTGTGACTTATCTTGAACTATGTTATTGCACATGAATATATTTTATCATTACAATCATACCAGGAAGTTTACTGTTGCGTTAAGTCAGGTGACTGTCAGCAACATCAACCAGGAACGTGTTTTGGAAGGAAACATGTTTGTGCCCACAATATTAATTGCTAAAGATATTGTTTTGAGTTATATTTATATTGTGTGAAGGTTTAAAGGTTATATATTTACAACTCGACGTATTACTGGTGTTATTCCGCTTAATATAAACAGCTAGCGTTGCAGCGGCAGAGTGGATGTGACGACAGACTAGTGGGGACGTGTGGTGAGTGATTTATTACTTTTATTTTTAATACCGGTAAAGGAATGAGAATTTGTTTTTTTCGGGGCGTTGATTTGACAGATTCAAAGCGATAGCTGTCACGTGCATTTCATCACCGCGAAGGAGATGAGTGTGTGAATGTTGTTTTACACCGCATACGGTAATATCACAGCTCACTTTGGCAGCCTGTAAATCCTCGAGTCTGGAGGAGATCAACTCGCGGATGATTGCAACACAATCAGCTTCATATGACGTACCACCGACTCCAGTTTGTGACCTACTGGGAGGGTGTGGTGTGTGGTGGGTGGTGGGTGGGGGGTAGCTATCCATGTACAGGCTTGAGAACATGGGATGTATTGGGATATGGACTATATTGTAAGACCGGTGGCGTTTTCAAAACTATGTTGTTGGTGCTTAGGTGTACATGTAAGTATGGTATCCTATTCAGGATATGTAATTATGATGAAAACAACAACAACAACAACAACAACAATAATAATAATAATAATAATAATAATAATAATAATAATAATAATAATAATATTTTTAAGCTGTACATTATAATATTTATAGTAATAATGAAGTTGTAATATGTAATAATTACAGCTAAGGCCAACACTAACACTACTTACTATTACCACCGCCACCATCACTACTACTACTACTACTACTACTACTACTACTACTACTATTGCTGCTACTACTACCACCACTACTACTACCAATTATGTTAATAATTATTACTATAACACACCATCAATGTCAATAATATTTTAAGATATAATAATAAGTATCATTACCATTACCAGTGTGACGTATTTGTCTTCCCACCCTCACTCTACCTCACCCTCACCCTCACTCTCACTCTACCTCACTCTCACCCTCACTCTCACCCTCACTCTACCTCACCCTCACCCTCACCCTCACTCTACCTCACCCTCACCCTCACCCTCACTCTACCTCACCCTCACCCTCACTCTACCTCACCCTCACCCTCACCCTCACTCTACCTCACTCTCACCCTCACTCTACCTCACCCTCACCCTCACCCTCACTCTACCTCACTCTCACCCTCACTCTCACCCTCACTCTACCTCACCCTCACTCTCACCCTCACTCTACCTCACCCTCACCCTCACCCTCACTCTACCTCAACCTCAACCTCACTCTACCTCAACCTCACCCTCACCCTCACTCTACCTCAACCTCACTCTACCTCACCCTCACCCTCACCCTAACCTCACTCTACCTCACCCTCACCCTAACCTCACTCTACCTCAACCTCACCCTCACTCTACCTCACCCTCAGTCTCCTCCCCCACCTCCATCCCCGCAGCCAACATAGTATCAAAACCATCCGTATCAACAGAACCGACGATGAAGCAACTCTAAACTGCTAGGGGCGGTCGGGTAGCCTAGTGGTTAAAGCGTTAGCTCGTCACGCCGAAGACCCGGGTTCGATTCCCGACATGGGTACAATGTGTGAAGCCCATTTCTGGTGTCCCCCGCCGTGATATTGCTGGAATATTGCAAAAGGCGGCGTAAAAGCATACTCACTCACTCACGCCCATTTCTGGTGTCCCCCGCCGTGATATTGCTGGAATATTGCTAAAAGCGGTGTAAAACCATACCCACTCACTCACTTAACTGCTAATCCTATGCGGATATTCGTGTCTGTCCCTACTCTCCCATATCCATCAGGCTATGTACATTTCACTTGACCTGAATCACTGGATGGAGACGCATGTACATTTCACTTGACACATTGAATTGTGCGGCAGTTGACGACAGCTACTGCGGTCAAGAGTACCTTGTGCCTAAAGATGATGACCAGGAAACTGTAAGCGTTATCATTTACTGGGAATATGTACACACAGACGTTCCGTTTTCAGGTGATAAGAGGCTTAGAGTATTTGAGAACTGTGATTCCCTAATCAAAGCATTAACGTGACAACATCGCATTTCCGAGTAATTTCCGTTTTCGGATAGTGGTCATTTTACTTGAAGTACAAAATAGCGAATTCGGCAACAAATCATGTCCACACTTTTCCCGATAAAGTGTTCTTAAAACGGACGTGTTATTGATTTGCTATCTGTCAATTTCAAGACACGAGCTGTTTAAGCTCTCTATCGGGCTTTTTTGTTTGACCAGATATTGTTAAGAATGAGAACATTTTAGATTATAGATTTATTAAATCATAGACCAAGAGATAGGTTTGTCCAACAAACATTACTTACCTAAAGATACAAAACAGCTAACCGTTCAATATTTTGTCAGACCACCTCTTTTCCTAATACATGCTTCAATGCGGAGAGGCATAATGCCAAGTTAGAAAATCGTGAGTCATATCGTCCCAACATCCTACCACGTAGTGTAAGGTGTTTTTTTATTGATATTGTCCGTCATGACTCCCCAAACAGTTTCAATTGGGTTCAGGTCCGGTTTGTAGCTGGGCCTAGCAGGAGTCTAACATTTTTCTCGTTGACCATTCCTGAGCATGCTTCGCTCTATAGTTTGGATCATTCTCTTGCTGGAATACCCACCCGTCACCGCACAAAACCTGTGCTGATGGACGAAGATGTGTCTGTAGAATATCAGTGTGCACGGCACTGGTCATGTTACCTTCAATTAAACATAATGGTATGGCACCCAGTACAGCCACCGCACCCCAAACATGAAATTTAGGACTGTACTTTGGAAGCTGGTAAATTGTCTTTTTCTGTACCTTTGGTCCACATTTTTAAGCACTTTGGATACAGCCACACTGAACGTTCATCGGAGAACATAACATTGTCCCAATTGAAATTTCTATGCTCCAAACCCCTAGTTCAAACGTCATTCTTGTTGTTCAGGCTTATTAGTGGTGAAGGAATTCCTGGTGGTTTCTGCCAATCCACTGCATGCAAATGCGTCTCTTTAGAAACATGCGTGTGTGTGTGTGTGTGTGTGCGTGCGTGCGTGCGTGCGTGTGTGTGTGCAACTCAGAGCCGACCTGTCCTTGTTTTATCTCCTTAATGCCGAGCGCCAGGCACGGCAACAACAAATACCACTTTCCAAGGTCATTTGCTATGACGCGGCCGGAATCGAACCGCCGAGCAGACGCTCTACCACAAGACCACGGAGACCGTCAGAGAAGGTCGGTAATTTTATAACATCACTATCTGTGATATTCGAGGATACACTGAAAAGGAACTTATAATTAGTACATTATGACGGGCAAACATCATAATTAAATATGGAACGCGTTATTGAACGTAATTTGAAGAAAAAGACGTAAAACAAAGTCAACATTGGTTGAACGATGTTTTTTTCCAAAAAAAACATAAACCAAATGAGATAAATCACATTAAAACAATATCATCAAAGATGTACATTAAAACCTCTACCGACGCCAACAGCTGCACTTACTCCAAAACGGTACAGTGTATAATAATTTATTATGAATTCATTGACCCAACATAAATCCAGCATCTCACATCGCTGTTATAACCAGGCCAATCCTATATATTGTTGGAGGTGATTGTGATTTATAGTTACTCGGATCTACCTTCAGTTTCACGGACCAGAAAAAATACAATCATCTCTGCATCTTTTGAAAATCAATCTTAATGAGGCTCCCTGTCGCGTCCCTACCCTAAGCAGCACAGTAGAGCTAGTTTGCTAGGTTAGATAGCAGTCCGATCAATGACATTAGCGAACTTTCATAGGATTAGTGATGTGTGAAATATATCATTATTTGACATGTAATTGATCGATGTAGAGTTTTTTTTTGTATCATTGACATTTTGACAACGTATGAATCTGATAATTTGTTAATCCTAATTAACAATACGTGTAAAATGAATATCAATCGGAATTATAAAAGGGTTGAAATCAATGTCATATGATTCAGTTTATCACACTGCGGTTATGGTGATGTTATTTGGTATGAGTGAGTGAGTGAGTTGGGTTTAACGCCGCTTTTAACAGTATTCCAGTTATATCACGGCGTGTCAGCTTAATGTGGGAGGAAACCTGAAGTGATGCAGGTCTCAGACGTTTACCACTTCGGTGTAACCCACGAGCACGGGTATGGTGCTGACAAACCTAGAAACATAAACCTAGAACCCACAATCATAGGTTACTGGCGTGTCCAAGGGACGCAACTCTGCACAGCTAAAACGCGGCGCTTTAGACGACTGGGCCACCCGTGCCCCCTTATTTGGTGTGAAGGGCCTGCACCTAGAAATGCATGTGTCGAGTGGCATATAGTCAGTGCAACATGCGAGGACTGTTTCGTTCGTTATTATCGCAACATCGATCTCTGAACCTTGAAATGTATGACCAAGGTATGTACCTACCCATTGGACCCGTGAAGATCCGGGGTAAAATAGGTCTTCAGCAACCCATGCTTGCCGTAAAAGACGACTATTCTTGTTTGAAGAGGCGACTAACGTGATCGGGTGGTCTGGTTCGCTGACTTGGTGTATGCATGTCATCGTATCCCAATTGCGTGGATCGATGCTCATGATGTCAATCACTGGATTTTGGTCCAGACTCGATTATTTACAGACCGCCGTCATATGAGTGGAATATTGCTGAGTGCGGCGTTAAACAACAAACAAGCAAACAAACCTACCCAGTGTGTTCTCACTGTGCTATAATCACATCATCAACCACTATGGTCATCTTGATTGCCTTATTCGTGTGTCACAATAGCAAGCACCTCGTCATCACTACACCTCCACTACACTTAATAGAAATCTCCCCAGTTAATCCAATTGGCTTAGTCATTATATTGTTATTTCTGTACATTAATCCTATCCATCCTATTCCGAAGGAAGCAAAAGAAGGAAGGAGGGAATGAAAAGGTGTGGAAGAAAGGATGAAAAGCCCATTCTAAAATAGATTTATCTGCACATAAATTTATATCTTCAGCTGTGACGCCACAGCGCGGGGCATCCCCTGATCTATGTCCCCGGTTCATGCACTGCTTGATGTCGTGAAGCGTCAGTCGACGTAATCAATGTAGAAGTCAATCTTGTCCCAAGGCGCGCTTATGATTGGTCACATGGACGCCCTCTGGACCAATGAAATCGAAGAATATAACACGTCTTCAATATAAAACCCACTATCAGTCCCAAGGGTATTTTATTCCACGGAGACAAGTTTCAGTCATGGTTCATCTGCCAGGACAAACAATCAGCCAGAATATCAAGTGCAGGTACGACTGCGTGGTGTCCATTTTGTTGTGACGTTGGGAAAGGGTATTTAGAATTTGTAGACCGATTATGTCTTCAGTTTTAAGTTAATTTTAGATTTGTTTGTTTGTTTGTTGTTTAACGCCGCACTCAGCAATATTCCAGCTATATGATGACAGTCTGTAAATAATCGAGTCTGGACCAGACAATCCAGTGATTGACATCATGAGCATCGATCCATGCAATTTGGATACGATGACATGCATCAACCAAGTGTGACCACCTGATCCCGTTAGTCGCCTCTTACCACAAGCATAGTCGCCTTTGACGGCAAGCATGGGTTGCCGAAGACCTATTCAACCCCGGATCTTCACGGGTCAGTTAATGTTAGAGGGAACAGACTCTGTGTATGTAAGAATGTCGATAGAAGCAGAGTCCCACTTCGACCAGATCATTAGCATGTGCTTATGAATCAGTATCAAACAGTGATGATACAAAGTGGAATCGAACTCGGGCCTTCGAGCGAGCACCTTGACCACCAGACTACTGCTCCGTCCATCAACGACATAGCCTTGTTGACATGTGTTTACCGTAAAGCTGATATTATTAACAATGACACTATGTTTATTATCAGGTGAAGTCAGAAAACTGATTTTCGATTTTGTCATAATAATCCATTAACAACCAATTTCATTCACCATATCGTACTGCAGACAATATTCTTCATTATTCATTTGTTTATTTAGTATACGATTACGGTAGATTTAAGAACAAACAACTTCTTAAATGGCTGAAATAATCTAATTTCAGGTGCCGAGTATTCAGAGGAACAATGGATTGTCGGCGGAGAGCTTGAAGGCGAATAGTGGAACGGATGTACTTTCTCGGAATGTTACCGAATGGTTACATCAACAGCGTCACATCAGTGACTGGACAAGAAAGGAAGCCTCATTGACAGACCCATAAATCTCAGCAAACAATGTGCGTCATATTCTGATAAGACAGAGCTTGAGAGTGCACCGACTGCATCACGTGGCCAGTGTTACGGCTTGTAATATGATGTAAAGTACTTCTGGAACATATACAGACAGTTCATGCTCTGTATTCATAAGGAACTGTCATTGTCTGTCAGACCCTTCGCATAACCTCCTATGGTGTCATCTGCCAGTGTTGCAGCGTTACGAGGTCGACTCCGTGTGATTTGAAAACAATTTCACTGAATGGGGACATGGGGATAGTTGACAGACTTAGTTGCGATGTATTGGTGTATCTATATCTGCACTGACTTACGTTGACTTGTGTAGCTCTTGTCTTCGGAAGACGAACAGAAGCAGGAGGGAGCTAAGGAATAAGGAAAAGGATAAGGATTTGTGAATAGTTACGCTTGGCGAGAACATAATAGACATAATCCTTGTGTTGGAAGTGGTGTGATTGAATAGGGAATTCTGACAAAAACACAATATAACTATCGTGTCGATTCCGTTTGACTTATCAAGTAAGGTGCCGCCCTGTTTGGAGTGATCACTCGGACATTATTCGTCTATACTTAATCAAATAACCAAAATGACCTCTCCGGAGCCCGAAAGCGAGTATTCCTCTACTCCGGAACCGGAATCTGAAACAACGTCGGAACCGGAATCAGTGTCAGAATACATAAGTTCTTCACCAGAACCCGAGTCTGAATATCTCAGTCCGGAACCAGAGTACAATTCCACATCTGAACCTTTGTCGGAATATCTGACCCCGGAACCAGAATACAATTCCACATCTGAACCTTTGTCGGAATATCTCAGTCCGGAACCAGAGTACAGTTCCACATCTGAACCTTTGTCGGAATATCTGAGCCCGGAACCAGAATACAATTCCACATCTGAACCTTTGTCGGAATATCTGACCCCGGAACCAGAATACAATTCCACATCTGAACCTTTGTCGGAATATCTGAGCCCTGAACCAGAATACAATGTCTCATCGGAACCATTCTCGGAGCTTTTCCGTCCTGAACCAGAATTTAACTCGACGTCAGAACCGTTTTCTGAATTCTATTCACCAGAATCAGAGTTCACCATTCCAGAATCAGAACTGACCAGTCCCGAACCTTACACCGAACCAGTAGCTGAGGCAGAAGGATGGCCCGAACCGGGCCCGAACTGGCAACAGTCATACCAGGATTGGGGCGAGGCATGGCCTCTGCATGTATACATCTTCGGACTCATGTACATTCTTCTGATGTTATTCGGGATTCTCCTAATCTCCGCGATGTTCGCGGGTAACAAGGGTCAGCGTAGAAGCAAGACAACCATAGCTCTGAATGCGATGATCAGTTTCTTTGGAGGAACTCGAGCACTGACTCTATTCATGGACCCTTATTCTTCTACGAAATCAGTCCCTTTCCTCCTTTCACACATGCTTTGGTCAGTGGGATTTCCTGGACTGACCGCGTCGTTTAGTATAGTGCTCCTCATCCTGTTAGACACTACAAAGATGGACATCGCTCCCCCGAAATTTCAGAAGCTCAGCAACATCATCCTCATCACCACCCTCCACCTCATGATCGTATCCGTCGTTGACGTCCTCGTCATGTTTTTCGGCGCCCAGGTCAAGGCTCTTCTTGTTTTCTGTCAGATTCTGTTCGTCATCTATGGCCTGGTCCTGGCTATAGGATTCACCTATGCAGGTTACATGATCAAGAGGAATCTCAGCGCGTCTGATGGAGTTAAAGGTAGGTCTTTGGTAGTCTGATAGGTCACATTGGGGGCACTGGTGGCCCAGTCGTCTTAGGCGTCGCTATTCGTTGTGCAGAGTTGCATCCCTTGGGGTCACCAGAAACCTATGATCGTGGGTTCGAATCCCGTTTCGCTCTGATTGTGTTTCTAGGTTTGTCAGCACCATACCCGTGCTCGTGGGTTCCACCAGTGGTAAACGTCCTGCATCACTTGGGCTTAAGCTGACACGCAATGCTATGAATGAAATACTGTTCAAAACGGTCTTAAACCAAATTGATTAACTCAATCACTGATAGGTCACAACAATCTGATCACAATGTCAGGCATTGTCTGGAAAAGGTGAGCGCACAGAGCACGTTACTCAAGTGTCCGGCCAACCTAATGTTCCCCATCCAACGCTTCACTTGTTACCCGTGAAGATCCGGGGTAGAATAGGTCTTCAATAACCCATGCTTGCCGTTAAAGGCGACTATGCTTGTCGTAAGAGACGACTAACGGGATCGGGTGGTCAGGTTCGCTGACTTGGTTGATGCATGTCATCGTATCCCAATTGCGTGGATCGATGCGCATGATGTCAATCCCTGGATTGTCTGGTCCAGACTCGATTATTTACAGACCGCCGTCACATAGCTGGAAAATTGCTGAGTGCGGCGTAAAACAACAAACAAACAAACAAACAAAGCTTCACTTGTTGGTCACACGAGAGTGTCATTGGGCAGATATAAGAAGGCACCCAGAAATGCCCATCTCTGGTCTACTTGCCAATTACTTATTATCCATGTTCCCAGTCGAAATGATAACGCGTGTTCGAATCCCGACATGGGTACAATGTGTGAAGCCCATTTCTGGTGTCCCCCGCCGTGATATTGCTGGAATATTGCTAAAAGCGGCGTAAAACCATACTCACTCACTCACTCTAGCTATGTAACGGCGGGTGACGAACGAATACGAAGGTCACTAGTTTACCCCACGTCAATTGCGGTAATAATAATAGTCATACGTGTAGTTTGTTTTTCGTACAACGCCACACTCAGCATATCGGTGATGATAATAGTCATAGTTAGAGTACCAGTAAAAGTAATAAACTTTTCAGTGAAGAAGTAAGAAAACGTACAACTTTATAGGTAAGACCTTCTGGTGTATTGCATATAGTGACGTTTCGATGTAGTTTCTTACACCGTTATCAAGCTGGAGTGAAGAAACAGTTTTCAGTGAGGTTTTGTACACCGTTTGTGGTATATATTTTGTGAGCAATGCCAAGTAAAATACATTTATTTATGTTATCTCCGTATCTTATTAACAGACAATAACTCTCTACCGCCATGTCTCAAAACATGAGAGGGTTGATCAGTATTTAATTACGAAAGCAATGAATCGTGGACCACTTGACCAGCGTCTTTATGTTACGTCCAGCTGTTACGTCAACATTTTATCGCCAAGCAGCCAAGCAACTACATTGCTCTTCACTTTTTAGAGCGGTACTTTAAGACGACTGTTGATTGGAAGCACTGTTTTACAGCACTAGCGTGTGTATCGTGTAGGGAACAACTCATTGTGATATCGACAGCCAGCTGATTCAAACTACAACATAAATTCGCAAAGTCATATGGTGTTATCAAACAATAATTTTCTGTTACGTGTCTACATGGCAATAATAATATTTAACGGCAGTAATTTTATGAATATACACAATGGTCAAGGTCTACAGATCAGGAAAATGAACGTGTAACATATATAAGGTGTTACTTGACAGTTCCAATGATGACCACCTGTGTCCATCGCCGTATAGAACCTGTGTAGATCCGGGAGGGAATTGGTCTTCAGCAACCCATGCTTGTCGTAAGAGGCGACTATGCTTGTCGTAAGAGGCAACTAACGGGATCGGGTGGTCAGGCTCGCTGACTTGGTTGATGCATGTCATCATATACAAATCGCGTGGATCGATGTTCATTATATCAATCCCTGGATTGTCTGTCCAGACTCGATTATTTACAGACCGCCGTCATATAGCTGGAATATTGCCGAGTGCGGCATTAAACAACAAACAAACATCGCCGTGTCATGTGGGCGTACATGTGCTATTGTAGATCTCTCGTTGTAGAACTAAATATTAAACATTCACGTCAATCACGGAAGAGAAAACATGGTGAAACAGTAAGCAAAACATTGCTGAGAAGTCCCAGCTGACAACATTGTGCCGCATATTCCCAAGATACAATAATCATAATGGGGTAGCTATCTCGTTCCTGACAAGACATACCTTGTTTATGCAAACATGACGAGAGAAACCTGTGTGGGTATCACTGATGATTATTCGGTTTTTAATTCTATAATTCATAACTTTATGTCCTGTAGTGCTGACTGCACATCCATCATCAAGACCCCCAAGTTACAATTTGAACTAGTGAAGTTGAATATTTCGTTGTCTTACATTTCCGAGACTTACAGTCAAGTCCCGTATTTACTTTAAGATTATGTAATGAAATTCTTAATTTACAGACGACTCTTATTACCCAAATTCTATACCAATATCTAAATTAATAATGTACATTTCAGGTTCAAGAGAAATACTTTGACACAACTATAATGAGATAAACTACTACATACTTTGATTGTGTAAGATGTATTCAGATGATTGAAATTTTCATTTAATCATTCATCTATAAAAAATGAAAATTTCAGTTTAAATCTTCAGTCATCTGAATAAACAGGTATTAAGCCTCACGCATTTCTTTTACTATCGCAGTTCACTAGTCTTGGGTCTCCCAAACCCTAGATAATAAACTACAAAACGAGTCCATCTCGTCTAGAATGATTTGGCAAGTCTAGATCTAACTCAGCTCCAGACTTTGTTTTGGTCTCCTTTTGGATTTTATTTATATTTTTGTTAAAAAAATTATGTTTCGAAATGAGGTAACTTTATTTCTGGGACACATTTGCATCGATGAATCATTCATCATAAACGCTTCGTCATTGATATATAACTACATGTATGTGTTTAAGCGTATGCCGGTTCTCGACAAATGAGACAATGCGGTAAGAATCAGGGTGGAAGTTGAGGTATTATGTATATCAACAGATAACTATATCCACGTATTACGTCATGGTCACGTGCCTAATCCATCATGGCTGACACCTACCCACTGGTTTTGCAATAAATCGGATCAAGTTCCTGTCAGACATACAACAACTACGACTGCAACGAGGATGTTTATGCTGTTTAACACTCTATAAACCCAACGTATGTCCCTAATCTTACCAGTCGTAGACCCCTGCGGCAAAATAAGACGCAACCGCGGTCAGATATTACGACAATCGCTAACATTATGTGACCCAACCGCCGAAACATTCAAAGTGGGCAATGAAGATTATTGTTCCTTCCCACCAGGTGGCGCGTTGTAACATTTTTACTCACTAGGTGGCGTGTTGCTACATCCGTGACCTCGAGGGAGTGGGGATTGTGAAACGTTAGCATGGAGTGATTCTATTCTCGAGAAGTTACAGTGAGCGAAAGTTGATTATCCATCAGGCGATCCGCATGTCGTGTGAATAAATGCATGCATGACAACGTAGGACGTTTTAAATAATCAATGCGTTATCCGGAGATTTATCCCGTAAGGCGGTGAGATAATATAGATATGATTATCTCCGCTTTATATAAGACGCATTGTGAAGACAAAAATCTAGCCTATATGTAAGCCACGATGTACTGATTTGTGCCCTGGTTCTGGTTGTTGGTTGGTTTGTTGTTTAACGACGCACTCAGCAATATGCCAGCTATATGACGGCGGTCTGTTAATAATCAAGTCTGGACCAGACAATCCAGTGATTGATATCATGAGCATCGATCCACGCAATTGGGATCGATGACATGCATCAACCAAGTCAGCGAGCCTGACCACCCGATCCCGTTAGTCGCCTTTTACGACAAGCTTAGTCACCTTTTACGGCAAGCATGGTCTGGTTTTGGAGAAGAGACATTTTGTAATTTCGAAAAGGTATTTTTAGTTAACGGGTAATTTTGATCCAAATGTATCACCAAATGAGTGATGAATGATGCTGGATGATAAAAAGAATCTTACCCTCGTGTCTTTTGATATCAAATGTATCACCACTCGTCAATCAATTAGGTTTAAAACTTCCTCGGAAGCTTCGGAGTGTTATTTATTTTAACAGCTCTTTTTCATATATCAAAGGAGACTCGGGTGTGATTCTCTATATAACAGCTTGATGTGTGTGGGTGGGTAGGTGGGGTAGAGACAAACTGACACAGACATTCTCTTCAGTGTAACATACGAACCTAGTACTATATAGCACGAGAATGTTGCGTCCAAACCAAGGGTAAGAATCGGTGCGAATCTTGATTTGAACCATGAATCAGGTACGCCTGTGCTGAGAGATTTGCGACGCCTAAGACAACTTGGCCAAACGTGTCGTAATTTCGGGGCAAAAAAGATTGTGATAGGGCTGATATCTGAACCTTGGCCGCAGAGGATGACCGTAAGCAGACAGGACATTTTCCAACTCGTGGTTGGATTCTAACCACAGACCTTAGATTTGTTTATTTGTTGTTCAACTCAGCAATATGACGGCGGTCTGTAAATAATCGAGTCTAGAACAGACAATCCAGTGATTGACATCATGAGCATCTATCAACGCAATTTGGATACGAGGACATGCATCAACCAAGTCAGTGAGGCTGACCACCCGATCCCGTTAGTCGCCTCTTACGACAAGCATAGTAGCCTTTTACGGCAAGCATGGGTTGCTGAACACCTATCTTCACGGTCCACAGACCTTAAACTCGGTTACTAGGAATAGCTCTGAACGGACTTTCACGCCCGCTAGTGTCTGGAATGATATTATGTCAGATAGGTTCTGACCGTCGCTCTGTAGCAGTTGTGTCGAAAGAGATAGTTCGCTTAAACCAGAGACCACATACCAAAAAGCACAGCAACTGTACCACTCGCAACACTCATTCTCCAGTAGGGCACTTTATTCAGCTCTGGCACGACACGGCCTCAGTAAATGAGGCCAGGAAGTTCGTCAGTTCTTCGTTGCTCTTTACATGAGAACAAAGGATTAGTGACAGTATACACACCTTGATGTATACTTTCGGCGGGGTATCGTGTATCTGTAAAGATTGATCAGGAACGACGTGAGATCACTGGATTACCTCACCTACCCGGAACTCAGCACGGATTAAAAGGGATTATCTGTCTTGCGTTTTAGTCTGTATGTGTGTAGAGGGCCCGTATAGAGTGAACGAAAGTTCTCTGATACAGCTCTATACTGCCAAGATGAACACACATACAGACTATAACGCCGTGTTCATCCTTGCAGTACAGATTAGTTTGAGAGAACTTTCGTTCACTCTATACGGGGCCCTCCACACACATACAGACTAGAACAATTATCTTCCACTAATGATGGTGAGGTAACAATTATCTTCCAGTGTTGATGGCGTAGTAATAATTATCTACCACTAGTGATGGTGTGGTAACAATTATCTTCCACTGTTGATGGTGAGGTAACAATTATCTTCCACTGTTGATGCCGTTGTAACAATTATCTTCCACTGCTGATGGTGTAGTATCAATTATCTTCCACTGTTGATGGTGTAGTAACAATTATCTTCCACTGTTGATGGTGTAGTAACAATTATCTTCCACTGTTGATGGTGTAGTAACAATTATATTCCACTGCTGATGGCGTAATAACAATTATCTTCCACTGTTGATGGGACTGTAACACATACACCTTTTTGCCGACATTCGGATCACATCGTCCACTACTAAGAACTTTATTTCTGATATTCATGCCATTTTCCATGAGTTGATCCGTAATGAGCGGCTCCAATGGGTTCTGCCACTAAAATACATACAGATAATATTTATCGAAAATCCGTATAAAATGTTCATGGATATGTTATATTTGCGTTTCAGACGAACAGACCCTGCGACTTCTGCGACTGACCAAGACAATCTACATCTCCGCCTTCATCTCTTTCTCCATCTGTGTCACTAACCTCTACTCCGCCGTCTCCGACTTTGGCGTCTTCAGCACCAAGAACTTCGTCGAGTCATGGCCGTGGTGGGGGTTGCAAACAGTCCTCAGGTTGGAGGAGATAGCGGCATCCCTGGTGGTGCTGACCATCTTCATAAAGACTTCGCCGACGAAGACACTCATTGGCTACTTCTCCCATCTGTGTCCCAGGAAGTCCAACAGCATCAACACTTCTCCACATGGGAAGGAGATCTCCGATCCCCAGTGGACGGAGACGACCACACATGCACCGAAAAACGTGGCCTGGGTATCGACAACAGATACTCATCGACTTCGCGACGAGAATTGTTGAGTCCACATCTGAGTTGGTATCTTATGTTGGTCATCTTCCCGAGACAAATGCGTTAACTTACTGTAAAAGTCCAGTTTCCACCATTGCCGAACAAGGTTGAAATTCCGGAGTTACATTTTGGCTAGACTAACAAGTCCATGCATCGTCCAATCAAAATCGCGTGACGCACAAGACATCCGGTTCGTAAACAACATGGATCTCAACGTGCAGATCTCGGTCGACTGAAAGATGTGCAGAGCATGTATACCGCCAAATGGGCGTTGACAGATGTTTTGCAAATCTTTTCATGTTTTTAATCAAGGTGCTTAAGTGATTTGATGGACTTCGTTAGATAAGGCCCGTTTCATTAAAATATAGATCTCCATAATAATATCAGATCGTCTTGACTGGGCGCCGCCATTTTGTTTGAAGCATTTGCAAGCGATATGAGAATCGGTATCTGATTGGTCAGTAGGAGGGACATAGGAGGGACATAAGTCTGGTAATAGCCACTGGTGGCGCTACGATCGAGCCTGGAAATTCCAGCCTAGTTCGGCAAGGGTAGAAACTGGACTTTTATAGTTAACGCCTTTGCCACGGCAAGATGTATGTTGGTATGTTTGGAGATTAGATTTATATCCACGAACACACTCATATTCCTTCCTACGTCAGCCACAATCTAGTTAAGTTATAATTTTCCTATTCTGATGCGCCACCCCTCTGTGTAATGATCTGACGAACCATATGAGGTCGTGTTCGGTGAACTTTCTGATCAACCATACTACGCCGAGCATTCTACATTCTCGACACGAACGAGCAGACCACACAGAGCAGCACGTCATATATCTGTTTCTCAAGAACGAACATGAAAGGTCAGAACCGAATGGACATAATTAAGGCCGCGCTATGATATATTGTTAATATTACATACACCCTGTCGTATCTGAGCGCTATGACAACTACAACCAAAGTTGTATACTATCAAAGGAATATTTTAGATTTTGTGTTGTGTGGGGGTTTTCATAAACGGAAATTCTGATAGGAAGTGGTACAGAAATGAAACTGAAATAAAAAAGCTGACATATGCTTGGCTCAAGAACCCACTTATCTTCCACGTAGATTGAGCGGTCAAATTCGCGCAGTGTTAAAGAGCAGGGCCTTTGGTGGATGATTTCTCAGATATCTCAGTTTTGATATCGGAGCAAAATATTTCATGTTAATGAGAATGCGACAACCGTAGCGCCACGATTGGTTTATGACTATCAGAACTATAAGCAGTGTCAAGCCTACCTTCGAGAAGAGTAATGCTAAGTGGGTGATTTTTGCCGATGAGATGTATATTTTGTAGGACCGGTGTGCTACAGGGACGTACCAGAAAGCTACTCTAATTCTGTCCCAAAACCACCAACAGCATTATGTGCTCACACGGGCAGGGTGTGCCTAGATAGATTCATGTTTAGGTGATTAATATCTGTTGCACATGCATGTTATCAGCACACCCCAGTACGGGTTTGTGACGAATCTTGATCATGAATGTAAATATGTTTCCGTCAGTTAATTCACACAAATTACACCTGGGTTGACAGCTATGTCTATTGGTCGGGCGTTGGTGACAAATGTTATTCCATCATAAATAAACTGCCGGGCAAAAGAAAGTAGGCCTATACACCCATGTTTGATAGTGGCTAAAGATTACGCAAATACGAAATGGTTATTTGGTGGTTTTGTATTTGACCTCATGTTTGCCCTGTATCGTCGACTGTTTTCAGCCTAGTTTTTTGTTTGTTTTTTTAACGCCGGACTCAGCAATATTTCAGCTATATGACGGCGGTGTGTAAATAATGGAGTCTGGACCAGACAATCCACTGATTGACACCATGATTTGTTTTTGTTTGTTTGTTTGTTGTTTAACGCCGCACTCAGCAATATTACAGCTATATGACGGCGGTCTGCAAATGATCGAGTCTGGACCAGACAATCCAGTGATTGCATCATGAGCATCGATCCCATTCGTGACCAACTCGTGTTATTCCGGGAAAAGCCGAATGGCGACTCATGCCCCTTTCATGGCCAATTTTGCGACCGGGTTCTGATTTAAAGCACATCGGGACATGCGGAATTATACAGTATGATTGAACACATTTAACTGTGTCTTGGTAATATTTTTAGATGCAAGACAAAATTATTTGTTAGGGATTCTTGAAAGGAATTCTTGAGGAAGAACTTGAAATCATACGCGCATTCTGATTGGTTTGTCGTATTTTCGAACATAACATTCATCGATAGGGGGACGAGTCTTCTTGCAGGTTACGATGTTACGGAAAGGGGCGAGTGATGACGAATGCATCGATCCACGCAATTGGGATACGATGACATACATCAACCAAGTCAGCGAGCCTGACCACCCGATCCCGTTAGTCGCCTCTTACGACAAGCAGAGTCGCCTTTTACGGCAAGCATGGGTTGCTGAAGACCGATTCTAACCTGGATCTTCACAGGTCTTTTCAGCCTAGTAACGTTTTGATAACGTTTGTAAGGTTTGGTCAACTCCAATTTTTAAGTGTGTACTTTCTTTTGTCCAGTAGGTTACATGTCTCTACCAGCATACTGAAAAACCTTTAAACCACAAACAAGAAGTAGATTGAAACCTAACGTAACACAGAGGCGGTTCGAAACTACTATCAATGCTTCCACTATTAATTATAGTGAAGACATTTTGTTTTATTACCATACCAATATTTACACAAACTAATACCAATGATGGTCAAGGGCGTCTTGGGCAATTATAGTGAAGCCTGATGCATGCACACATGCCTGGTACGGTGACATGGAAGGGATCCCTTTGATTTGTATGGAGTGGGTGGGAAATGAGAACAATCTATTGTTTCCCCATGCGGCATCCAACAAACTACATACCTACTGAGCACCATTAAACGATTTATTCATTTTGACTATTAACATAACGTTTACTTTGGGGTATTCTCCACAATACCAATCATTCATTTTTTTCCACCACTGCCAACTAACTTTTTACTTTGGGCTTATTTCTGAACAAATTACAGTAAACTTATAACCAACTGACGGATATTACGAACTTAATTTTTGGTCACGGCTATTTGCCGTATAGATGTTGTATATATGCCTATAACGAACTACGGTTATAACGAACTGACGGATATTACGAACTTAATTTTTGGTCACGGCTATTTGCTGTACAGATGTTGTATATATGCCTATAACGAACTACGGTTATAACGAACTAAGTGGTCCATTTGAGTTCGTTATAACCGTAGTATACTGTATTCATTACACAAATCTCCCTCCCCATAGAAATTAAATGGATACTCCCTCGTGGAGGCAAAGCACCTCAGTGAGAACTTTTCCGCCGACCCTTGTCAGCCACGAACACAAATGGACTTGTATGAGATTGTACGAGAGCTTCCGGCCATTCCTGATTTTGCAGTTGTTTTAGGCTCCTTGAATACAAGCATGCGTATTCAGTTTTAACCCCGATAGTTTGAGAATTTAGACCATGCCTAGAAAACATACACCATTTCAAAAGCTTATACCTTTGATCCCGCAGGCGGTAGATATTACAAAAATACCATAAACGATTTGTTCGTGAAATGTGATAAATAGCTACCATATAAGTAAAATAAAATATATACTTTCACAAACCTTTCACGAATGTAAAACTGGTAACAATTATACATAGATATGATGCTTATGTTGCCATTAAGTTTGAGAAGAGATATAATATTCTATGAACTATATTTTGTTAAAAACGTCCGGGAAATTTCAAAGTATACACCCATGTTCGATGGTGGCTAAACATGAAACAGATAAGAAATGTTATGTGATGTGATATATTTGATACGGGTATCATAGATGTGTTTTGACCCTTACGTTTGCAGTGTTTTTTCCGTCTTGTAACGATTTGATAACGTTTGTAATGTTTTGGTCAAATCCAATGTTCAAGTGGATACTTTATTTTGCCCGGCGGTTTAGTTCAACGTTGAACACTGACGGTGACAGAGACGCTACAGACAGAAATAGCGAATAATGTGATTGAAAGTTGACAATACTATGAAAACCTATCAATGCTATATGTAATTGATGGTTGTTGTTGATATGTATATTTTGTCAGTATTTATTTATTTATTTATTTATTTATTTATTTATTTATTTATTTATTTATTTATTTATTTATTTTATTTGTATTTTTTTTTTTATTTATTTTATTTATTTTTTTATTTTTTTATTTATTTATTTATTTATTTATTTATTTATTTATTTGTTCTAATATGTTATATGTTTCACATGTATGTACATTTTTATTCGTGTATATATACTTATATGTTGTTCACTATACCACTGATGTCATTTGATATGATACAAATCCTCGATCAGGGTTTGTATTTAAAACATAAATGCCCGACCGTGAAACCGGTTGTGATCCCATCAGGTTTGCAATCTTAATTAGACTAGCTAAGTTAGATATTTCAAGTTTTGATCAACAACGAATTATTGAATTATTATATAGTGCGACTTCCATATTCCACAATTTTGCCAAAATATTAGCCTTCGGGGAAGACAGCAATTTCCAATCTACCGTTGTGACTATGGAGTATTATAATTTCAGTTTTAGTTTCCAAAATATGTTTTTTATTTTTCTCATGTGATCATGAGAATATATACGCCAAGACTGTTATATTTGTGAGATTTACACAAGACCTCAATTAAAGAAATAAAAGACGAGTGGTTTAATCTCCCTACAATGTTATATTGTACGATAAACAACGACCACGAGTCGTATTTCTTATGTGAGATATAAACATTATGTACAGTCTTTTTAAGGATTTTGATAAATTGTACAAGTTTAACAAATATTTACCCACATGTTAATAATGATGACCCCCTGAATAGAATCCGACCTCGGAAATGTCGGACAAGTCCATTTTACGAACAGGTGGGTTAAGCTTGGTACTTCCCGCATATTCTCACAGTTCTCACATCGATTGTCTGTACCTTTTCTCCTAACACCGATTGTCATATTTCTCCCGCTTTTGGATGCGATCGTTCGGCCACTGCGTTTATCTGCGTGGCCCAGCTAAATCTATGAGTAACAACTTAATATACACTTCCCTCTAAAAAATAACGTCGTCCAATATATGACGTCATCAAGTTGCATTTTCGAATCTCCAGAAATGACGTCATTATAGAACAATGGTGTATCGTGAATATAAACAGCGCTTCGTTCTATATTACTTATATAAGCTACGCGATAAATCGCAAAGAATAATGAAGAATGAACAATGGTTACATGTAATCGACGTGAGGATTGTGAGAATATGCGGGAAATACCCACTTGTGCATAAAAATGAACTTGTCCGACATTGCCGAGGTCGGATTCTATTGTTCAGGGAGTCATCATTATTAAATTTTGGGTAAATATTTTTGAAGCTTGCACTTTTTATCACCATCCTCTAAGACAGACAGACAGGTTTATTTGCATCAAAGGTCACATGACCTGAAGAACATAAGTTTTTACATCATAGTTTTAGTTGCCAAACAGACTTAAATTAACAAAATTACTTATTAAGAGGAATAGTTCTTAAAAAGACAAGTGCTAAGGACTTGGTAAATGGCAATAATACATTAATATCTGACGAAGTACAAAGGCTTTCAAGTAAATAATACTACTTATTTGACAATTTAGGTAATACCAGTTTAAGCTCATCTTCATAATGTTTACCAACAGATACAACATGATTTTCATCTTCAATTGCGTTACAATGTTTACACAGAACATTATCATCAGTCATTGTTGATACAACCCTACGTAGTTGCTGTGTACCCAAAGAATTACAGCCAATTCTAACCTTTGTCCCTAGACGTTTGTACTCCCAGGGCATTTGAAGAGACAAATAATTATCACAATCTAACAATGATTTCTGAGTCTTATAAAAAGTCTAAGGATGCGTGCCATTCTTGAAAAGAACAGTTGTATACTCTTTCTTTCAACTGGGTAATAAATAGCTTTGGATCACCAACATCCTGTGAAATCCAAGCGATTCCACAACTGTAGTTAAATAATAATATTGTGTGGCCCAATTGAGTCGTTTCCTGTCAACATTACCTAATAAAAAGAGATAACAATTATGTGTAACACATTTTATATTTGGGTTAACACTTTCTTTGTAAAGTACAGGTTCTCGCACTTTTTTGGGTTGAGTCCCGTCCGGGATCTGAACCCACGCTGCCAGAGTGAGGTACCTAATCGCCAATACACAAAGTTAGCGACCTAACCCACTCAGCCACCGAGGCTTCCACAAAAACTAAAATCCGACAACTTGTAGTCTAGATCACGTACTTTGTGTACCCCTCTGACAATAAGTATTGTAAATTGGTACTGTTCCCATGCCCGAAAGCTATGAACACACAATGCCATTTAGAAAGTACGAGAATCAGTACTTTACACTTTCTAAATGGCATTGTGTGTTCATAACAATTATGTGGATAGCTGTTAAAGTCCATATGAAGCAATCTTGACCAATATTTGTAGTTCTTACAAAATAGGCATTCGCCATAGACAGCAGCATTAGATGATCTATATCCAATATGTAACA